CCGCGGCTACCACAAGCTGGTGCTGCAGATCGGCCGGGGGGCGCAGGAGCCGGCCCCGCTGAGCAGCCCTGACTTCGTGCTGGAGGCCTTCCGCTTCAAGGACTCTCTGGCCGAGGACTTGCGACGAGCAGACCTAGTCATCAGCCACGCAGGTAGAGCACAGTGGCTGGCCAGCACCCCACAGAGCCTTCGCTGAGTGGGTAGACATGAAGTCAGGGGAATGGGAAGCATCCGTTTCTATAAGGCTCTGTGCTAGCATTAAACATTCAGGTCCACAACAAGAGATAAATGGATTAAATGTTCAGGAGCTTCTCAAGAGCCAGTAGGACAAAATTTATTCTATCCTTGCAAACACTGGTCATGCTTTCTGTTTCTCCTGTAGGTGCAGGTAGCTGTTTGGAGACACTGGAAGAAGGAAAACCACTAATAGTGGTAATAAACGAAAAGCTGATGAACAACCATCAGCTTGAATTGGCAAAGCAACTCCACAGAGATGGACATGTTCTCTATTGTAATTGCAGGTATAGAGCAGCTGTCTGTCCTGACTGTCTAGTGCTGTCTAGTACTATAACTTGGCCATTACAGTATTAAGAATGTAGCAAGTAAATTTCATTCTCTGTGACAAAATCATACTGACCAAATACCACAATTAACTTCCTGATCAAAGTAGCAGGGCAGAAATAAATTGCTCCCTGCAGACTTCATTTGAAAAAAAAAAAAATCCTGTGTGGATTTTCCTTGTGAGGATCACTAAAGATGACTGTATAGATACTTTCATTTTTTTATTATGTCAACGTATCTCAATATTTAGAACAAAATGTGAGAATGGCCTTACTGATTAAAATCAGGAGGCCTTATAGCTCAGTAATCTATACGCAGTGGCCATACCTAATAGAAAATAAGATCAGGGCAAATGGGACTCTTCTATTACTTTTTCTCTAATATCCTAATACCTTAGGGTTTTACTAAATCAGATATTTGGTTGGTTGGTTAGTAGCTTTCAATCGTTATTTTTCATTATTCAAGCTACTCTCCTAAACAAACTCTGCATCTACGATATCCTTTTGACAGTGAGTTTCACAGACATATAGCCTGTCACTTAAAAAGAAAACGTCTTCTTGTCTGTTGATCCTGGATCCCGTTAGTTTCATTTGATGTTCTTTTAAGTATAGCTTCCCATTTCTTTTCATGAATGTGATTTATGGCACTCTATAAATAATAGATGACCTTTAAATTGAAGATAGGGGAAGTGTAATTCACATTATTTAGTCTACATCTTATTCCCTGCAGATAGGGTTCTGTGTGTTTCAGAAGAGCCTTCTGAAAAGACCAGGCCTTCTATTAATTTACGCTAGGCAAGTTTCTTAAACTTATTTTTTGAATTCTTCTGCCAACTTCAGAGGTAGGAAGGAATTTTTATTTCTTTGCTGATAATATTTACCTCCTGAGTCTTACTTGCAGTCTGAAAATTGCAAGCTAAAGAATTGATTTCTGGCCACACGTTAAGTCAATAATTTTGCCATGCGTTGAAATAGGATGAATTTCATAATGCTGTTTATGGCAGTGATCCTCAAGCCTTATTTAGTCTCCTAATATTGCTTGCATTCACAGAATATTAAAAATTAGAGCCGAGGCTGCTTATAAAAGCTGTGACGTGGCTTGAAATGTGTTCCTTCCTTGCTGCATGTGAGCCAGTGATGGCTGGGCCCACTGTTTTTTGGGGTCTCCATTTCAATATATGTCCATATTTTCATTTCAATTAAAAGATTATGCATGCATATGAATAGAAAGTAAATTGTGTGAAGAAAAAAAAAACCCTTGGGATTAATTTTTTTTATATTTGATTTTGGTTTGTTCCTACAGCACTCTTGTGGAGACACTGCAGTCAATGGACTTGTCGACTTTGAAACCCTTTCCTCCTGGACAGCCAGAAAAATTTGCTTTGTTTTTGGATAAAGCAGTTGGGTTCAAATAAACAATCAAGAGAATAAAAATGTCAAAATAAAGCTCCCCCCCGGTTAGATTTTCCAAAATGAAAAATACCAACTGGGACAAATCCTGTTCGTATCAACTTAAAGCAAATGTCTGTTAGTAGCAACTGACATTAAAACGTTTCCATCTAATTCCAGTTTAAAATCATTTGCTTTTGTTCTTAAAAGGCCACAGTGTCATGTGCAGAATATGAACTGTAAGTTGGTTTTAGTTTCAGCCTTACTGAAATAGATATGAGAGCTACCAACGTGAAATGAGGGAGGAGAGGAAGCAACTGTGGACTCCTGGTTTGATTCATTGGTTTGCTAATAAAGTGCATCCATTCCAGAGGAGATGCTGATCAGGCCAGCAAGAGACATTGCAGCAGTAATGATGATAGAAATTTCTGACCTAAGGAGATTTCATCAATGAAATATGTGAAGTAATGTTACATTCAGCTGGAGCCCTGCAAAGGTAAATGCTGAATGCTGGACAGCATACCTAGCACCCAGCCCCATTCATTTTTAGAATGTAATTTATAATTATGTAGACTAAGTCTAGATCAAAAGACTCATTTTAAATAAGGGAATCAGCCTTTGCAACAAAATTGCAAAAGGAAGAATCATCATTTTTGTCCACGTTTCAAAGGTTAATGCACAATATAAAAACTCCATTGCAAGAGGTGTTCCCCCCCCCCCTTTTTTTTTTGGAAAATCTTCATGCGTGACCAGCAGCATCACAGCAGTGGTAAGAAGGGTTTTTGCTTACTTCAGTAATGACAAGAGTGCACAAGCACATAAAAAGTGCACTCATAAAAATTTGTAAATTGGCAAGCTGTGAATTTTCTGCCAACTTAGATGGGTTGTGACTGCAAAAAATATGTGAAAGTAATCAATGAAAAGTTTATCTTGAAAGATTAAAGCGCTATAAAACGACAATTTTTCAGAATCATATTTTAATGAATGTATAATATCTGCAATAGAATTTGTATTTCTAATCTGTTTTTTTTTTTCTGTTCACAAACTATTTTTCTCATCAAAAAAGGCAAATGATAATTTATTTTTCTAAACTCACTGAAAGGACATAATTTATTCTTGAGTTTATATATATGGTTTGATCACATTTTAGAAAATGTCAGAACTCTTTCAATACTGCTATGTTTAAGATATATATATAGTTAGTGTCCAAGGAAAGCCTACTCCCAAATGTTAAATGGCTGCAGGCACCTGCTGCCCCCAGTGATTGCTTCCAGTTAGTGCCTTCAACCACTTGCTACTCAGTTCTGACCAATGTTTCTTAGAATACAGATCTCAAATTACTAATGAATTGCATTTGACTTTGGGCCTGATGTAGGTGGAAGTGCAGACCTGTGCTAATCCTACCGGACTGTGGAAAGGATATTGCTATAAAAATGACCAAAATAGTGACTAAAATAATGACTAACATATATTACAACCATATGAACTGGATGTAGTTAAGAACACAGACTTTTCTAACCTATCTAGCATTCATGTTCTTGGCAGTATGAGCAATTAAAAGCATTTCCTAAACCAGGAAGAATGAAGGCTCTCGTCCTGCAAACTACTCTGGTTTCCTTTATATTGATCACACTGAGCTGACTTGCTTCTCTAACACTCTCTGAAAACAAACAAACAAAAAAAAACTCACCCTGTGTCACTAGGGGCACGAATGCCAAGTATTTACATCAGAAATCCTCCCAGAGTTGATATCCCAGCAAAGAGGCCACGGTGGGAATGGCTTTTTAGCAGACAGGACATACAGACTGTGCTCAGAGCACAGGGCTATATGAGCACTGGGAATAAGATTAGAAGCTGGAGGTTTAAATTCCTTTAAAAGAATAGGGGAATGTGGTGAGTTTAGGTGGGAAAATCCAGCTTTTAGTGAAAACCTGCTGCCAAACGGTCCCCCAAGTGACCTGCATGGTTTTGAGACGTTTATATTGCTCCTGAGTAAAACTTAGGTGGAGGGAATAGGAACAGGATGCGACTGGCACTAAAATGCTTTACGCGCCGTTCTCCCCTCGTTAGTCTGCAGCGTGGTGTGTGAAGCGCAGCCCCGCGGAGCCCCCGTTCAAACGCGGGGACTGAGCACCGCGCTCGGCCGCGCTGCTGTGAAGCGCAACAGGGGCT